TCATTCTGCCCTGACCAGTCCCCTTGGTCCTGCAGGCCTTTGTCTATACACAGAGATCTTCAACAGCCGGAAACATGGACCACACCCCCAACACACTTCACATCCCACATACCTGCCACATGGTGCTTCTGATACCTCCAGATGTCAAGATCTCAGCTCACCAATCATGCTTCCCAGAAAGCCATCCCTGACACCCAACAATTGCCTCATGTTGCCTTAGAACACTGAGATACCACAGCACACCGTAATCTTAGACTAAGTTCCATGGGGCAGTCGCTTCGGATGGAAGAAACCTGAATTCCTGCAAGCTGACAGGAAACCGAAGCTCCTTCCCTAGAGCAAGCTGAGCTTCCTTGCCCAAAATGTTTGGCCCTTGAAGCTCCTCAGATTTTGAATATTTGCTTTAAATTCCAGACTATCTGCGTATACATTATGAACTATCCCAAAGCCTGAACACAAAAGTCACTGGTTTCCTGGGTGTCTTCTGCATGAAACCTGGAGGTGATGTCCTGGGGTTTTAAGTGTGTCTGAATTTTGACTGCAGCCCCATCTAGGCCATCAGGTGTTGTGCTGGTGCTCATACATTCCCTGAGTTTGGATTATTTTGTAATTTGTAGATTTGGACTAGAGTTCTCCAGCTGCTGTGACAAGCCATCAGATCTCTCTCTGTCCACCACTGACTAGCTCTGAGACACTGGGCCACTCCTTAGTTCTCTGCCACCTTGGCTTACAGGGCCCTCAAATGAAGACAACAAGAATACCCTTCTAGGACATTTGCAGGAATTAAATCCCCACAGCACATTTAGGTCTTTCCTTAAAAAGAAGGCTGCGGTGTTAGCCGTGGTTAGGAAAGCACATTCCTGAAACACAGAAGGATTCGGATTTAGCAAATACAATTTCCATTCGCAGAGAAGCCAAAATAGCAGTGAAGAAAATATACAATGTCTCAGTCTGCACTACTTCTTTCATTTTCATATATGAAAAATGGGAGCTAGGGTAGCAAAACCCGTTGAAATGTTGGGAATCCCATGCAAGTACAGAAGGCTCAAGGGAGGGACTTGAAAGCGAGATGACAAATGGCAGGGCAACAACCATATTGATTGAGAACACATTCCATGGCCGACAGCCAGGTCAGAACAGCCGATCCCTTGGCTTCGCCTTATAAACTCTAATTTTTTATTTTCCTAATTAAAACAAAAGCCTTTGAACACCCACACTCTGTGTAAATTCAGAGCTCACCCTTCGTAAACCACAGTGGTGGGAGTATTTATCTTCTCCCGGCTGGCTTGGCAGCAGTTCCTTGAAGGACATGAAATACAGCTGGGATCATCCTCTCATTCATTGTCAACAAGTAAGCATCCCAGACCACAAAAGACAGTGGCTCTAACAGAGTGATCTGAAAGCTTGAGATATGTTGCGGTTTTGTTTGCAAATGGAGGGAATGAATAGAATCAGAAGTGGCAGGAAACTAAAAACGTTAAACCAGCCAGACAAGAGCAGGCCAGCAAATGCCAGGCGATGAGGATGAGAATCTTGCAGGAGCATTGTGTGGAGACCTCTGAGGGGGAAAGGCAGGGCAGCGGGGACAGGTAGATCAGGGTTCCACAAAATGAAGAGAACACAGAGTGTCTTTAAGAGCAAAGAGCACACGAGCATCACTCTGTGGGCGAGAGAAGGAGATCCCCCATCTGAGTCTGATAGGGCTGGCAGAAATGCAGGCTTGGGAATGACATGGGTGGGGCTACAGCAGATCTACTATTGCTGTCTGCTAACTCAATATGAACAGTGTTTTCTGAACGTTAAAGGGTCCTGAGAGACTATTTGATCTGTTAGTGCCAAAATTTGTATTCACAGCCTGCTCTGGTTTGTTTTCAACTGCTCTGATAACACACCAGGACCAAGAGCAACTTGGGAAGGAAAGGGTTTAAGTTTCCATGTCCCAGTTGTGGTCTGTCATTGGGGGACAAGGCAGGAACCCAAGGAAGGCAGCAACCTGGAGGCCCAAACTGAAGCAGAGCCCACGAAGGAATGTTGCTTACTGGCTTGCTTCACATAGCTAACCCAGCTCGTGTTTTTATTCAACCTGGGGCTACCCATCCAGGCTTAGCACTGCCCTCCAGTGGGCTGAGCCCTTCCACATCATTAAAAACCAAGAAAACGCCACACAAGCTTGCCCACCCACAAACATAATAGGGGCATTTTCTCAATTGAGGTTCCCTCTTCCTAGATGACTCTAACTTGTGTTCAGTTGACAAAACCCTAACCAGTACATGCACGTGCACACACACACACACACACACACACACACACACACACACACACACAC